CATTTCTTTAAAAAAAGAAACAAGGTAGGAGGCATCTCATTCCCTGATTTCAAATCCTACTACACTGCCATTGTGGTCAAGAGAGCATGGTACAATGACAGACACATAGATAAATGGCATAGAATTGAGAACCAAGATATCAGCTCATCTACCTATGGTCAACCTATTTTTTGAAAAGGAGATGATATCAGTTAATTGAGGAAATTACAGCCTTTAAAAAAAATGGTGTTGGCAAAATTGGCTATCTGCAGAAAGCTCAAACAAGACTCCCTCCTCACACCAGACACAAAAACCAGTTAAAAGTGGATCAAAGACCTAGGACTAAAACTAAAGACTATAAATTTCATTAGAGAAAAGTTTGGATGAACCATAGAAGCACTAATCCACAACTTGAACAGTCTTCCAAGCATTTTGAAAAACCTACAACCAGGTGAGGATAAAATCGATGGCTGGGACCTTCTGAGAATCAAATCCCAATGCACACCCAAAAATTTCTCCAACAAAGTGAAAAGGTAAGCCAGAGACTGGGAAAAATATCTGGTAGTGACATGTCTGATAGGGGACTTATACTGGAGTGCCACAACAAGATAAAGGTAAATAATCAAATTGAAAAATAGGCACAGGATATGAACAGAAACTTCATCTAAGAAGACATTCAAATGGCAAACAAATGCATGAAGAAATGTTTCAAATCCCTAGCTCTAAGAGAGATGCAAATCAAAACAACTATGAGATATCATCTCACCCCAGTAATAATAGCAAAATTTAACAGAACATTGAACAATAAATGTTGGTGAGGTTGTGGAGAAACTATGGAAGGCAGTATGGCACTTTCTCAAAAAGTTGGAAATATAAATACCATTTGTCTCAGCAATTCCACTCCTGGGAATATACCCTAAAGAAACCATAAGTGCTATCCAAGCAAATATATTCTCACCCATGTTTATAGCTACTTTGTTCACAATAGCAAAGGGTTGGAAACAACCCAAGTGCCCATTAAGAAACGAATGGACAGAGAAGCTGTGGTATATTCACATAATAGAATGTTATGCAGTACTGAAAAGCAAATAACTCATTAAATATTATATAAAATGGGTGACCATGGAGGACATTATGCTGACAAATATCTCAGTCACAAAAGGACAAATACTGCATAATGCTGCTGTTCTAAAACAGGACTGACATGGGGTTTGGGTGGAAACTAAGAAGAGGGGATAAATCATCTACATGGCATTGAAACAGATGAGGGAGAACTGTATAAAAGAAATATATGATTAGGTATTATTGGCACAACAAAAGTCCAGAATAAGAGTTGCATAGTAAAGTCATCTGGAGGTTGTTGTTATGTGCCATCGAGTCGCTTGCAACTCATAGCGACCCTATGCACATCAGCCCTAAACTCTGCTCTGTCCTGTGCCAGTCTCACTGTCTCTGATACACCCATCCTGATTACCCCAGTCACTGAATCAATCCACCTCATAAAGGGCCTTCCCCTCCTGCGCTGTCCCTCCACCCTCCCAAGCATGACGTCCCTCTCCAAAGACTGGCCCCTCCTTACAACATGTCTAAAGTATGTCAGACGAAGCATCAGAATCCTTTCCTCCAAGGAATTGCCTGGTTTAACCCTCTCCAGGATGAATCTGTTTGTTTTCTTAGCAGTCCATGATACATTCAATACTCTTCTCCAGCACCACAGCTCAAAAGCATCAGTTCTCCTTCTATCCTCCCTAGACTTTGTAAACTACTACCTAACTTGGGAGGAACTGGAGAGCATTATGCTGAGTGAACTAACTCAGTCCCACAGGACAAATACTGTATAAAATCATTATTGTAGAATAAGTATGAGGATCCAAGCTGGGAGGGTAGAAGCAGAGGGGTGAGAATGGGTGAGGTGTTAATCATAGTGTTGCACAATTCAAGAAGCTGAGGTGGTGAAGGAAACGGGAAGGATCTTTAGTGAAAAACAATGTATTTATACTAATTTAAAATAAAAACAACAACAAAATTGCCTGTGTGGTTTCACCAAATCACTTATTACTTTATTTTCTCTCCTCAGCTATAACATGAGAAGCCATGTATACCTTAGGATATATTTTGGAGTGTAGATAATTATTGTTCAAAAGTGTTTTGATGTCTTCAGACAGGAAACAAAGAAAAGTAAAAGGAGCCTCATAAACTATGAGAACAAATTTATGTTATTAGTGATCATAAATCATTCTTGAGTCACAAGTCATATCCTAAATGAAAAGTTCAATGATCAAACCTTCCATCCATTGTTTGTAAAGACAATATTTGGCATTGGGTAGCAACTTACTTTTACATTTCCCAGGGGTCCATTCCATAGCTTCTTCAAGTGGTTTGTGTTATAGTGTGTCTTGATGAAGGATCAAGTTCTAATTGAACTCAGATACAGTGTAGCCTTTACAACTTTTATAAATTTATAAAATAGTTAATTTATAAATACATAATTTATAATTCTAAATTAATATCACAAACAAGTAAAAGTACAATATAACTCATAAATGCCTGGAGCAGTATATATCAGGGAAGTGCCAGAAACCCAAGCTGGATTCAGAAGAGGACAGAACAATGAATATCATTGTTAATTTTAAATGAGTCTTGGTTGAAAGCAGATACCATAAAGACATTTACTTGTGCTATATGGACTTTTCAAAGGTATTTGTGTGGATCATACGAATGATAGGTAACATTGAAAAGAATGAGAATTGTACAATATTTCATTTTGTTCATGAAGAACCTGTATATGGAAAAAGAAGCACTTTTCTAACAGAACAAAGTATTTAAAATCATAAAAGATATGCATCAGGGTTTTATCCTTTCACCATTCAGTCTTACATTGAGTAGATAATCTGAGAAGGTGGACTCTATATGAAGAAAACTGCAGCATCAGAATTTGAGGAAAACTCATGAGCAAATTAGGTAGACGACACAGCCTTGCTTGCTGAGAATGAAGAAGACTTGAAAGCACTCATGAAGATTAATGATTATAGCATCAGTATAGTTTATACTTCAACATAAAAAAACTCACAACTATACAAATAAGCAACATGATAAATGGATAGAAGATTGAAATTGTCAATTATTTCATTTTACTTGGATCCACAATCAACACCCAAGGGAAATGGCAGTCCTACCTATGGAATGACATATTGAAATGGTCAAACCTTCTGGTAAGTACCTGTCTAAAGTGCCAAAGAACAAGGATTCTACTTCAAAGAAGAAGATGTATTTGGCCCAAGTCATGGTATTCTGAGATGTGCGTGAAAATTGGATGTAGAATAACAAACCTAAGAAAAATTGAGCCTTTGAATTGTGATATTATTGATGAGTATTAAATATGGCACAGATTAACAAAAGAACAATCCTATCTGTCTTGGAGGAAGTGCAACCAGAATACTCCTTAGAAGTAAGACTTAGTCTTCTCTATTATGGGCAATCAGGAGGGACCATTCCCTGGAAAAAAAAGGTATCATGCTTAGAAAAGCAAAGGTTAGCAAACAAAAAGATCCCTCATGGATATGAATTGACTCAGTAACTACAACAATGAACGTAAGCACTGCAGATTGTGACGATGGTGCAGGTTGAGCAGGTTAAGTGATACTTAATGACAAATATAGGGTTGATCTTTCATGTTGCTAGTTATCTTTTTCTTCATGAGGGAGAACACTCTCTATCATCTACATTTACTTATATTCTTCACACATAATCTCCTCTAATTTTGCCATGTGCTCAAATATGGATTTAGGCCCCAACACTTTAATAGTATCTTAACTAATATTTACCAAAGATAGAGGTTACTTTCTGCCATCTGATCATTATATAGTCTAGAATAATCCTTTGTATATTTTTTGCACAGTAGTGCCTGTGCAATTTATAGCTAATAATCTGACCTAGCCTCTGCACCCTTGAACAGCTAGCCACTCACCATTTTCCACTTACTCAGCATAATAACTTTCTATCTCAGCAATTTTAGGTGTTCTCATGATATTGAAAATTATGAGAATGGGATAAGAACCCTTTAGGAGATGTAAATATATTGCTTTTATTGTTCCTAAGGGCTCTTAAGCTTCAGGAGATAATTTCATCTCTGAAATTGCCCATGTCTAGGTCATGTTAGAAGACCTGATAGATAGCCTAGTAGGTAGGGGCTTGTGCTTCCAACTAAAAGGTTTAAATCCATCAGCTACTCCAAGGAAGAAAGATGAGCAATCACTTCTCATATAATTTATAGCCTCTGACAACTCACTGTAAAGTCAGTTCCTACTCAGTAGTAATGAGAGGTGAGGGAAGGGTGAAAAAAAAATCTGCCCTTCAACTGTTCCTCTAACACATCCCACTCCATCGTATTAGAAGCTTTCACTTTCAGCCTTAGGTCTTCACTGGGTGATGTAATAGAGAAACCTTAGCAGTTACCACTACAGTAAGAAATTAATATTCAACACAAAAAATATGAGCATTATAGATTAGTATAAAATAACTTAGAAAAATGTAGTATTTCAAATTATATTTTAATCCAGAGTTCTAAGCATTTACTTCTAACTCTACTTCTTATTTCATCCATCTTAAAGTAGCAAACTTGTTGGAAACCTCTGCTGGATAGGCCTAGATTTCATGTGTCTCCTGACTTCCTGTTATCCAGCTCTCCTCTCTGTTAAATGGATATATTCAACAAATGCTCAAATGAAATATATGCTAAAATGAATAGTACTAGTTTATAGCACTTGTGAAAGACAATAATAATGCTGTAATCATTTGACCATATCTTTTAGACATTGTATTATGGGAAAGTTCAAACATTTATAAAGAGATCAAGCTTCAACAATCTCGTTTCATCAATTTTTCTGTGCACATTACATCTCATTCTCAAATTTTATAGTCAACTTTTAGATATTTATAAATCATTTGCAAATATATAATTTTGTATTTTATACTAATCCCACTTTAATTGTCTAAATGAAGTTTTTTTTCTTTGTTTCCAGTCTGCAAAAATGTTCTCTTATGCTGGATGGAAGCAAACCTGTAACATGCTATTTTTCATCTTCTCTGCCATCTTTTTTGTCAGCCGTCTCATTGTATTTCCTTTTTGGTAAGTAGACAAGATGACGTGTTGCTCTCTGGTCATGCCTTTCTTCAGTGGAATGAGGTGACCTTTGTGTAGTGTTGAAGTCAGCTTTTCCTCCCTTACACTGATTGTCAGTTGCTTGTGTCAAGTTCAGTTAAAAAAAAGTAATTAAAAGAAACTATATTACAAAATTAATTAAAGACATCTCCCAATGTAATATTACTACAAAAGAAGATGGAAAATGTGTAATTCAAATGTATTACCTCAGTCAACTAAGATATTGGATAAGCAGAAACTTTCATTTTGTAGCTTGTATCATTATTATGGATATTGCTTTGTGATTTGCAGCTTTGCTATTTACTAAATATCATTAACATTCTTCAGCTCTCTAAAAAAATGAGATATTTCCTCTGTTAAAGAATAATAATTATACATACACTCAAAGCCACAGAACTCTTAAAACCCTAAAATTATTGTTATTGAGTTGGTTCAGACTCATAGTGACCCCACAGGACAGATAATTGGAAAATTAGAGGGTCAGTACTAGAGAGAAAGACCCTCAAGAAGATAGATTGGCATAGTGAATGTATCAGTGGGCTTAAGCACAGCAGAGATTGTGAGGATGATGCAGAATCATGTAGGGTTTTGTTCTATCATACAAGAATCAATATGAATCAGAGCATGTAGGTGGTGTATCTGACATTGATTCAGCAGTCTGGAGAGGTCCCTGACAGCAGACTTTCCCAGTGTAACTTGTCTTTTGATTTTTTGACTGCTGATGCCAAGTGTATTGGTTGTGGATCTAAGCAAAATGAAATTGTTAATAATCTCAGTCTCATCTCCATCTATCATGATGCTGCCAATTGGCCTAGTGGTGAAAATCTTTGTTTTCTGATGTTGAGATGCAGTCCATGTTGAAGACTGTAGTCCTTGAGCCCAGCCTCCCAAATGATCTGTTCCACATATAGTTTGAAAAGGTATGGAGAAAGGATACATCCCTGATGCATTCCTTTCTTTTTTTAAATTTTATATTGGTTTGCTCACATGGTTTGTATACATTGTGTTTCACACTGTTCTTCACTCATATTGTGATTCATGCATTATGCTTTATAAAATCAATCACCTTTGGACCTTGGCCATTATTACCCAGTCTTTCAGGCCTTGCTGGATGCCTCCCATTTCCTTCACCCTGTTGTTCCATCCACCAAACTGTGCAACTCTGTGGTTTCACCCCTATCCGTCCTCAACACCCCACTTCTCCCATCTCTTCACTCCTTGGGTAAAACATGTAAGGACACATGTTTTACTAGTCATCCTCCTGTTTTTTAAAGCAATGATGGTCTTGTGCAGTATTGGTCCACACTCCTTTCTTGATTTTGAACCATGCAGTCTTTTCTTGCTCTGTTCAGACAACTGCTTCATGGTTTAAGTATAGTTTTCAAATGAGCACAATCAAATGTTCTGGAATTCCCATTCTGTTCAATGTTAGCCACAATTTGTTGTCAACCACACAGCCAAATACCTTTGCATAGTAAAGAACAAAAAAACAAACAGGCGGTTGGTGTGGTCTCCATTGTTCAGGATTTAAGGCGCCATGAGGTACTCTGTGCCCAGGTCCCAGGAGAAGTCTACCCCGCCGTAGAACTTAGGAAGCTCAACGTGTCACATCCATCTTCAGTGCCAAGTGCTTGACATGGCATATGCTCAGCGTTCTAGCACATGAACGAGCACCCACTGTGGTCCCGGATGTAGAAGGATTGGTGTGTCCCGGGGTCTGGTTTTCCTTGGTGGAAATGTTGGGATGGCGTCGCTTGACTTTCCAAGGAGGCTCAGTGCCTTGGAGGGAGAGGGGTGACAGAGGCCGTGGTCAGGGTGGGCGCTTTGGCTCCAGAGGCGGCCCAGGAGGAGGGTTTAGGCCCTTTGTGCCACATAACCCGTTTGATTTCTATTTGTGTGAAATGGCCTTTCCCCGGGTCAAGCCAGCACCTGATGAAACGTCCTTCAGTGAAGCTTTGCTGAAGAGGAATCAGGACCTTGCTCCCAATTCTGCTGAACAGGCATCTATACTTTCTCTAGTGAGCAAAATAAACAATGTGATTGACAATTTGATTGTGGCCCCAGGGACATTTGAAGTGCAAATTGAAGAAGTCCGACAAGTAGGATCATATAAAAAGGGAACGATGACTACAGGACACAATGTGGCTGACCTAATAGTAATTCTAAAGATTCTGCCAACATTGGAAGCTGTTGCTGCTCTGGGGACCAAAGTTGTGGAAAGCCTGAGAGCACAGGATCCTTCTGAAGTTTTGGCCATGCTGACTAATGAAACTGGCTTTGAAATCAGCTCTTCTGATGCTGCAGTGAAGATTCTCATTACAACAGTGCCACCCAATCTTCGAAAACTGGATCCGGAACTCCACTTGGATATCAAAGTGTTGCAGAGTGCCTTAGCAGCTATCAGGCATGCCTGCTGGTTTGAGGAAAATGCTTCTTAGTCCACAGTCAAAGTTCTCATTCGACTGCTGAAAGACTTGAGAGCTCATTTTCCTGGCTTTGAACCCCTTACACCTTGGATTCTTGATCTGCTGGGACACGATGCTGTCATGAACAATCCCACGAGACAGCCCCTGGCCCTCAATGTGGCCTACAGGCGTTGCTTTCAGATTCTGGCCGCAGGACTGTTTCTGCCAGGTTCAGTGGGTATCACTGATCCATGTGATAGTGGGAACTTCAGAGTACACACAGTCATGACCCTGGAACAGCAGGACATGGTCTGCTATACAGCACAGACTTTAGTCTGAATCCTCTCACATGGAGGCTTCAGGAAGATCCTGGGCCAGGAGGGTGATGCCAGCTATCTTGCTTCTGAAATATCAACCTGGGACAGAGTGATAGTGACACTATCAGAGAAAGCTTATGAGAAGTCACCAGAGAAAAAAGAAGAGGAGGAGGAGAACACAGAAGAACCGCCTCAAGGGGAGGAAGAGGAAAGTATGGAGACCCAGGAGTGAGCCTTCCTCTCTTCATCCCCTTTTACTCAAGGGGGAGACTGAGAGCCTAAGCTGACCGCTACTGGGCATTACTTGGTGGCATTTCTGTGGGATAGGGGAAGATGGCAGACAGGAAGTTAATCCTATGGAAGGAAGTGTCGTTCTACTGGGTTCTGATAATGGCTAAGCTATTATCGTAAGACTTTGCCATCCATCCATGTTGAAACAGGACACAGACTTTTTTCCTATTAACTCTAGAATTCCTAACTCCTGAAAACGGCTTTTAACCAGTACTTTGTTTTTGAAATGTTGTTGGCTGCTAAATGTGTGGACATATTTTTTTCCCTAAAGAAAATTATTAAAGTACTACACAGTAGGAAAACAAAACAAAACAAAAACCAAACAAACAAAAAACCACAAATAGACGTATTTCTGGTACTCTTTTTTTTAGGTGAGATAATCTGACATTGGTAATGATATCCTTAGTGTAACAGCCTCTTCTAAACTCAGCTGGTGTTTCTGGCAGTTCTCAAAGTACTGTTTCAGTTGTTTTTGGATAATCTTCAGCAGGATTTTGCTTGTGTGTGATATTAGTGACGTTATCGTTGTTGTTGTTATGTGCTGTCATATCACCTGTGAATTATAACGACATTATGTACAAAAACTCTGAATCCTGCTCTATCCCAAGCCAAGTTTATTGTCTCTGGAACTCTTACGTCCATTGAGAAAATCCATCTCATCGAGGTTCTTCCTTTCTTGTGCTGTTCTTCCATCCTTCCAGAAATAATGTTCCTCTCCAAGGACTGGCACCTCCTACCAACATGCTCAAAGTATGTCAGACGGAGCTTCAGAATCCTTACCTCCAAGGAGCAACCTGGTTTCACCCTCTCCAGGACAAACTAGTTTGTTCTCTTAGAAGTCCATGGTTATATTCAATACTCTTCTTGAGCACCACATCTCAAAGGCATCAATTCTTCTATCAGCCCTAGTCATTGTCCAGCTTTCTGATGCATTGCAGGCAATTACAAAGACCAGGGCCTGGATCAGGCACACCTTAATTTCCAGACTGACATCATTGTTCTTTAGTACCCTGGAGATGTCCCTGACAGCATTCTTTCCCAATGCAATTCGTCTTTTGATTTCCTAATTGGACCAGTGATGAGAATCTTTGCTTTCTTGATGTTTAGCTTCAATCCATACTGAAGGCTTCTGCAGTCCTTGATTTTCTGCAACAAGTGCTTCAGGTCCTCCTTAGTTTCAGCAAGCAAGGTTGTGTCATCTGCATAATACAGGTTGTTGATGAGTCTTCCTCCAGTCCTGATTCCACATTCCTCCTCATAGTGCCTAGCCTCCTGGATAATCTGTAACTCATATAGATTGCAAAGGTACGGTGATAGAACACATCTTTGATGTACACCATTCCTGATTTTAAACAATGCAGTGTTTCCTTGCTCTGTTCTGATTACTGCCTCCTGGTCCAAGTATAGGTTTCACATAAGCATAATTAAGTGATATTATTCAATAATTTCCATACTCTGTTGGATAAGAATGGGAAGAGGAATGAATATGGATCTCTTTCAGTCAGTTAGCCAGGTAGTTGTCCTCCAAATTTCTTGGCACAACTTGGTGAGTATGTCCAGGGAATGTTTAAAATTGGTATTCCATCAATCCCTAGGAACTTAGTTTTTGTCAATTCCTTCATAGCAGCTTGAAATTTTCCCTTCATAATTGCCTCTCGGTCATATGTTGTTTTATGAAATTCTTCTGTGTGAACCAATTCTTTTTGGTGCAGTGACTCTGTATTCCTGCCATCTTCTTTTGATGCTTCCTGAATCATCTGGTATTCTGCCCACAGCATCTTTTTTTAAAAGTTTTTTTCATTTTATTCTGATGTATTTATGAAGTCTGAATTCATTGTTTTTCACACCAGATCTTTCCTATTTCCTACACATGCCCCTACCCACCAAATCTGCAACTCTATGATGAACCCCAGTTTATCTCTTATGAACTTTATGGTTTTGGACTTACTTCACC